ACGCTATTTGGTCATTTCAACCCCTACCGTTATACTCACTCAAATATACCCCTTAATTTGAAGGACTGCCACATGTCCTCACAAGATTAAAATGACCCATCCCCTTTTTTACCAGATTCATTTCCCCTCTACTCTTAGACCGATCCAAAATCACCCTTTCTAAAAAAAATCCTAAACGATTTTAACTTCATTTCACCACTCCCCTATTTATTTCACAATTTCTGGAGCTTCTTCCCAGACGAAGGATTGCTTCCATGTTCGCAGTCTGTTCTCTATTGGTGTAGAATCTTAATCCTATCTGCCCGTGTTTGTAGGTCCATATGATGTCAAGCTTGCTGGCAAAATGCAAGTGAAACTTCTTACCAGACATCACTCTAAACATGAATTTGGTCATATATTGTGCCTAATTCTTTTGAAATTGAAGAAAATCTTTTCTCTTTTCATTATTAAGTATTAACTTTCTGGCTCCAATTGTCCTTACTGTTGAATGCTACTATCCTCCCTAAAATCTTTTTATACTGTCAATTGCCTTGTTAAATCTCCATTAATTAATTGATATTCAACTTTCTCAAATTTGGTTTTGTTATATGAATTAACTTTCTTGGGCTGGCAATTGATCAATTAATTTTGTTGTATGAATTAACTTTTCCATGGCTTATGTCCCATTAATTTCTGGAGTTTCTTCCCCATCTTGATCAATTCCTACCTTAGTTCATATCTTAACTAGGATAGAAACACGAGAAATTGAGTCGTTTATATGAGAAAAAGCAGAGGAATTGTGACGGTTTTTCATTGAAAAGAAAAAAGAGCATAATGGAAGTGGCCTCATAGTTGAAGAAATTGAAGACAATGAAAGTGCCAAGAAATTGTCCCATAAGCTTCCATAGCTATTTCTACTTGTTACAGATGAAGGGGAAAGGTGAAATGAGGTTAAAATCATTTAGGGCCTTTTTTCAAAAGGAGGTGACTTTGGGTCGGGTTATGGGTAGAGGGGAAATAAATCGGGTAAAAAAAGGGAACGAGTCATTAATTGTGTGAGGGCACGCAATAGTCTGTCCAATTGAGAAATATATTTGAATGATAGTATAACAATGAGGGCCGAGATGACCAAATAGTGTAAAGGAATATTTAAAAACCCTTTTTAATAGTACGGTAAATTTGACCTTTTTCCATATGTGGTAAGGTTACAAGGCGAAGAGATTATAATAAATTGCTGTCATAAATCATTGTAGTACTATGTCACCTTGAAATAATATTTCCTTGATATAATGGTATATTTGCCTATCCATTTCGTAAATAAACTAGGCTTGGGCGTCGACTCATTTTTGTTGGATAGAGTTTGACCTTTTGTTCGAGATACCTACATGATGGAGTAAAGAGACTGAAGACAAGATTCAGTATGTACCAAGCTGATGATGAGGCATCATTTAAAAAAGGGATATGATTTTTCACTTATATTCCGTAAGACAGGCTATCCAATTGGAAATTGGAAGAAAAGGAAGAGGCAAGGCTTTTATCATGGACTCACGTTTAAAGTTTGGAACACACTGATTATGTTCAATAGTGGAGATGAGCAAGTGGAGAAGCTTATCACGTCATATAAAATATGTGATCTTCATTTTAAGTTTCATATATATTTGCCTAATGAAACTTGGGAAATTCATGCTTGTGTTGGGAGCTTAAGAATTTAATGGATGGTGGTATTAGATCAACTGCATAGGCAAGAGCAGAAAATCATATTCGGGAATCCAACAACTGGTTTAGGGAGAAAGTTAACAAGGTAATAGTGCCCACTCATTACTATGGTTAGTTAAGTGGCTTTAGATTGTGGCAAAAAGATGTGTTCAAAGGAGATCCAGGATTTGATGACTACGGGTAACATTGTCTTTAATGCAAGCGTTACCACTAGTCAAGGAGATTGAATTAGGGCATACATTTGGTTTGTTCGATCTATTTTGAATTAATTCGAGTCGGTTCAATCCATTGTAAAATTAATTCGGTTTGATATACAAAATTTTTGGTGCATAAACAAATACGCGATCACCTAACTGAAATTGTTTGTCCAGGAAGAACTTACATTATATGGATAAAAAAGAGAAATGATTAAAATCATTTTCAAATAAAAATTTGGAGATCTAGACAAATAAACAACAACAACACAACAACCTAGTAAAATCCCACAAGTGGGGTCTGGGGAGGGTAGAGTGTATGTAGACCTTACCCCTATCCCGAAGGAGTAGAGAGGCTGTTTCCGGAGACCCTCAACTCAAAAAGATGAACAAAGACAATAAATTTGTACCAGCAACAACAACAAGAGAGAAAATATCAACATCTTAAGAGATAGAAAATAGGTGGAAAGGCAATAACAAAAACCGGTACTAATTACACAGAACCATGGAAATGGAAAATTAGAGTGAACAAAACAAACGCCACTAGCAGTCCAAGACAGAAAACTATCAGACGAGCCCCACCCCCGGTACTCGACTACCCCCTAACCTTCAACCCTAATGCTCGACCACCACACCTTCCTATTAAGAGCCATGTCTTCGGAGATCTGAAGTCGCGCCATGTCCTGCCTGATCACCTCGCCCCAATACTTCTTAGGCCGCCCTCTACCTCTTCTCATGCATGTCAAAGCCAACCGCTCACACCTCCTAACCGGGGCATCTAGGCTTCTCCTCCGCACGTGCCCTAACCATCTGAGCCTCGCTTCGCTCATCTTGTCGTCAATGAGAGCCACATTCACCTTCTCCTGAATATCCTCATTCATAATCTTATCCAGCTAGATCTAGACAAATAAAATGAAAGGAAATATACAATTTGAATCAATAATAAAAACGAGGTTGTCCCTTCCCTGGATCCCGCGCATAGCGGGAACGAGCTTATTGTATCGGGCTGCCCTTTTAATAAAAACGGAGTTGTACAAAGATAGAGGAAATACAAAGAAAGAACAAAAGAAATTAAGGAAAAGAGAAGAAAAGAAAGAAAAGGAACAAGTAAGGCGACGATGAAAGTAAAAACGGCTTTCAATTCAATGAGTCTCGATCCTGGGCCTTGTGACTAGAAACATGACACTTTAACAGTTGCACCCATGGTCGCTTTGTAACTTGGGGTGCCACCGTTTACTTATATAGGCTTTTTGCGGGAAATACCAGTACATACATGAAGATTCTACTCGAGAGTCTAGGTGGCGATGCACCCCTTCTCATCTACACAGATCCGCTCCTGATTATGTTGCATATCTCATTATGGATAACGATTTTATGGAATGAAACAGGATAGCCTGTGCAAGACTCCGAATGGTGGAGTAACTTTATAAGCAACAACTGATAGATTTTCTGTTGCTAGGGGCCAAAACCCGACTGATGGGGAATGTCTTCCATTTAAGATGTCATTGAGATTGATTATTGGAGCACTTCGGTGTTGTAATTTCTAGGTGTGATTGGTTTCGTAAGAAACTAAATGAATATGGGTCAGCTATGGTATGCTTCAACAAATTTTATACTGGCATCTCAAGTGCATCAAGCTTTTTATGCGAAGGATCCAATTGAGAATGGGAGTTATTATGCAAGGAATAAAGACCCTGGAGATTTGTATGATTTGGGGGAAGAAAATTGTTCCAATATTAGCGACATTTTGGAGGGAGTATGAGGAAACTAGTTCAGGTAGATCACTCGATGTTGACGCGAGATGGTCGAGAGAAGATATACCTGGTGATGTCATTGACATGCTATCTCATGCACTACATTCCTAAGATACAGCTACAGAGATATCTAAAGAGAAATCTGCATTTTAATTGAGGCTGACAACTGACAGAGGAACTTTTGAACATATTTTGTGTATATTTTGAGAGGCATTGAAGTTTGTACATGTGTAGCAAAAGAATAGGATCATGAATTATGACTTGGTTAGTCCTTTGTCCATTAAGATCTTGGCTGTGGTGCCTTATAACTATTGAATTTCTAGTGTCTTTTGATGCATGTTCTTCATCTTTTTCTATTTCCACACGCTATTTGTCTAAAATGTTCTTTTATCTTTTGGGGGAAACATGCGAATAGAAGGAGAGAAACGAATATGTGCAAACCCTTGGTAAAATTTGAATAATATACACTTATACAGTTGCCACCTTACTTACTGTTAAACCAGGAAAACAATTTGTTTTCTAGCCAGTGTTGTGATAAACTAAATGGAGCTTCCTCTAGTTTGTGAAAGACAGAAGGAATGAGCATTTTCTTGCAGTGAGAAAAATCAAGAGATTTGCGTTGAGAGTGACAAGTTCTCGATTTAACAGCGATCGGCTGCTTATCAGATGTTGTCTGGATTTCTTTGTTTCAGTGCCTGAGTAATTTTGAATGTTTTTTTTTCCTTATTAACTTTTCTACAGAAGTTGGATAAGCTGTACTTCCGTTCATTCTTGAGTTATATGTTAACTTGAACATCCAGTTGTGCATATTTCAGTAAACTTGAATCTGATTTGACTAGTTAAGAAAAATAATATCTTTAACTTTCTGTAGCTTGACTTATCCAAAAAAAAAAAAAAACTGTCTGTAGCTTGAAGATGACAGTTTCTTCTCCTTCACTGTCTCCTAGCACCTCTCTTCTGCTAGGAAATAGAATTAGAAGGTACTATTTCCAAGTGACAGCAACTTAGTATGCTACCCACACTCAAAACTTGCTTTGATTTCAGCAGGAAAGCTTTTTTGTAGGATAACTGACTGACCAACACTTCTAGTTTGCTCTTCTTTGCTTTTTTATATTTATAATTAAAAAGATTGTGGATTTCAGGATTTTTCTATGAGTTGCTTTGCTGGCTTTGTGAGATCATGGTATCTAAATTTGGTTTGGCTAAATCGTGTTCTCTCTTCATATATGAAATGTTTTTAGAATTGGATTGCCTGCTTTTCTTTATCAAATTAGAAATGCATAGCTTTATTAACAATTAAATGACAAATGATGGGTAAATGTATTGATGATATTTAGTGCCTTTTATGGTGACACAGAGAATTGGAGAATGATGAGTCAAGAGGGGCCTTCAAAACAAAATAAAAGATTAAGAAACTCCTCGTACATTAAAGATGGACCAGTTGCAGCTATAGTAAGGAGAAAGCGCTCAATGGCAGTACAAAAAATTATTCAAACTTTACGGTCAAGTAAAGAGCATTTGTCAAATTCAATCGAAGGACAACAGCTAGAGGCATCTGAACATCCATCGGTAGAAGCTCATATACAAACAGAAGCATGTCCATATGTAGAACAACCAGTAGAACGACAAGCACAAATGGATTCAACCACTATTGCAGCAAATGAACAGTCTGATGAACAAGGCAAGAGCATATAGATTGTATGTAGAGTTATCGACTTTGTATTTAATTCATTAACTCAACTAACATTAACAATTTGGTGATTATCTTTGGTTCTACCACAGGTCCTACTCAAAAAAGGAAAAGAGGTAGAACAAAGATGTATACTGTGCATGGGCGACAGGAGCGTCAACTGATAGTATTGAATGAGTTCAATCAACCAATTGGTCCCAGTAAAGCTGTTGTAAAAGAGTTGGGTAGTTTCCTTGGCACATTGGCAAGGAATGCAACACTTTGCCCTCTTGATAAATTTGACTGGAGGAAAATGGACACAAAAGATGATTTGTGGAAATATACCAAGGTTTGCAATCTCTTCTCCTTATCTAACCACACACCTTGCTTATTCTTGGTTTATAGATGTTCAATCTTCTTCTCATTTTAATGACGCTGTGAGAAAAAGTACCTTACCAAAAAAGAAACAATTACACTGAAAAAAAACTGTGTTTGTAGCCCCTTCGCTATGCCGTTTTACTCCGGCTTTCTGCTTCAAGATAGCATCCTCAATAGTTGAATTAACTCTGCATTTGCTTTGTTTAACAAACCTCTATCGTTGTGAATTCTTTCTAGCTTAAGAAAAAACTTCCATTGTCCTTAATGTTGTCTGAAATCACATTTTCCTCCATTAGTTTCACCTTTTTCTCCAGTTCTGAGGCATCTATAGTTAGATCTCCAAAAGCAACTCAAGACCAAGATCTTAATTGCTTGCTGACCTTTTTAAGTTTCTGGTAGAACTTCCACATAGGATTTCCAACAGTCGTTTAAGCCACATTCTTCCACTCATTCTATAAGGGACATCGGCCATTCTTTCATGAATGTTCATGATCAGATTAAAGTATCCTCGTTACCATCCATGATGGCACTAATTGTTGTGATCTCTCTAATCTGTCCCACAGTGAGGTACTGAAGTAAGCTTTAATGGCAAGCTTGCAGATGTTCCAGAACCTCAATTTAAGGATCCTCTTAAATACTGGAAGTCTAAGTCAGTTATGCGCATGTGTATAGGTTTCTGTATATGGCATTATATCGTACTAAACACAACAAAACCAATTTGTAGGAAAAATATGATATTCCTGATGCTGCAAAAACATGGGCTTTGGAAGCAATTCACACTGCATGGAGAAGGTATAAGAGTCAATTGAAGAAAGATCATTATGATACGTATGTCAATGATGAAATTCGAATAAAAAAGCGGCCTGCATATGTTCCAGAATCTCAATTTAAGGGTCTTCTTAAATATTGGAACTCCGAAGCAGTCCAGGTGAGATATTTTTCAAAAGTCCAATTTGTACATATACCTAATGCATTGTTTCAACATATTAATTAAATCATTTACTTGCAGAAAATGTCCAAAATCAATACTGAGAATCGGAAAAAATGGAAGAATCCTCATACTTCTGGAAAAACAAGTTTTGCTGTAATCCGTAATGAATTGGTATGTTACTATATTTATCAATAAAAATAAACTTGCTTTACTTTTAAAAAGGTTTCTGATATCCATTTTATGAAACAAGGAAAAAGAGAAGGAAACTTTAGAGGGTATATCGCTTGAGGAACTATTTGTGGCTACAAGGAAAAGGAAGCCTGGTCGATCGTACAAGGAGCCAGACGAAGATACAATTAGTAAAATTGTACGAATTTTATCTAATTGCAAGTTTACTTTGAGGAGTTATTTTTGCTTGGCAAATTATTTTTTATTTGTTTAAATTCTCTCTTATTGAATTTTTTGCAGGCTGAAATGAAAAAAATAGAATCAAAGCAAAGTGGAGAAGGAAGTCAATCTGTAAATGCTTTTGCATCCGTCATGGGAGCTGAACATCCGGGACGTCTGAGATTATATGGACGAGGGGTTACGAAAACGTCTTTGAAAGGTAAAGTGGGACATGTTGAACCTGCTTTAAACATTACTGATGATCTATTGCAGAAGATGGCAGAGAGGATGGAGGAAAAGCTCCAAAAAAAATTCGAGGAACAGAAGGAAGCTATAAGGCAAAAAATTGTTGCAGATGTCCTTGCAAAACTTCAGCATTTGATCCCAACATTGCAAGTTGATCCTAACATGCTAGCAACCATATCTACTCGTTCACCTGGAGAAGCTTGCTCTGCAACACGTACTCAACCAATCCATAAGCCACCTATTGGTACCAATCATTGCAGACTAGGTAATTCACATAAACTCAAGCAGAACTATGGAATTATAATGATGGGTTTGTTGGTTACGTTGCACAATAATTTTGTCTTCTACTTCCACCCGTTAGAACAGCTATAAGACCGACAGTTGTATGGTATTGAATGTTGGGCTGCTAAAGTCTAACATATCCACAAGTTGATTGTTGTAGAGATGCGGATGCTAACATGGATATGTGGTCGTACAAGGTGAAAAACGACCATATTCGCCAGAAGGTGCAAGTAGCACGCATTGAGGATAAAACGAGAGAAAGCCGCTTGAGATGGTTTGATCAGGTCTTTCATCGAATCCGGTCCGTGTGAAACTATGATGAGTGAAGGGTGTTAAAAGAGGACGGGGTAGACTTAAAATCACATGGAAGGAAGTTGTCTCGAAAGACCTACAAATCTTTGGAATCAAATATAGACTTAGCTAAAGATAGGGTACAATGAAGAAAAAGATCCATGTAGGTGATATCTACTAGACGGGAATAGGTTTTAGGCTTGCTAGAGATATGAGTTAAGGTTAAAGAAAGAACTGAGGATTCATATAGCCGATCTCAACTTGTTTGCGACTGAGGCATAGTTGTGTTGTACTTCCAGCAGCAGTTGGAAGTTGAAACTGTATATGCATCGTCTTGTGGATTTAGTAAGGAGATTCAGAACTAAGTTTAGGAGCTAATTATCAAGTAATTATTACTTGATTTCATGCTCGCCGTCTTGCTTATGGAGGCTATACTTTTGAGTTGTTTCCTTTTTGAACACCTTTAGTTGTCAACTTTTGGTAAATTTTATCATTTCTATGGCATATAGATAGATGTTGGGCAAGTCTTATATTCTTACAAGTACTGAGATAATTATGTTGTGTGCGTATGGTATTGCTTGTAACACATAGAATATTGTTGTATTGATGTGATGAATGGATATGAATCTGATTATTGGAGATGAATATGTGTTGTAACCGAGAATGTGATGGTTTTATGGGATAGGGTTGTGCCCATTTACAAGGAAACTGCCGGAATTTCTGTTGATTAATTGGGTTTGCTAGGATGAGTAAATTTATCTACGCTATGGTCTAGTTTTAAGTCATGACTTTAATATGTATATTGAAATTATATTTTGCCGAAATTTTTTGTTAACTCATTTATTTATTATTTTTTGTAGGTGGATCAAATGAGCAAATGATAGGTGAAAGCAGTGAAGACACTATCTAGAGTTATGAGATTGTTATTACTAGAACTAGTGGGTTCTTCGTCGTATGCAATAATATGTTCACGCTACCTGGTTTTCTGAAACTTATCGAATATATGAGCTTGAATTAATGTTTCTTGTCAATGGATGGTGAAGATGAATCTGACTTGCTTTTGCTAGCTATAGTTGTAGAAGCCCTCTTAAAAATATGGTCGTTTGGCATTATTGTGATTTATTCCTTCGGGGGTTAGCTCAATTGGCAAAGATTGAGGGATTTGTGTCTTAGGTTACAGGTTAGAGTCCTGTGTTAAGTGAACTATGGTATTTAAGTGGAAAAGGGTAGAGAGGAGCCAGGGTCGGCCCTTCCCTAAAGCAGCTAAAACAACTGCTTAGGCCCCATATTTATGGGGTCTTCATTTTTTTAAACACCTAATAGGTTATATATAAGTAAAAAATATTTTGTCGGGTGAAAATCTTTGATTTTTTTCTTTAACAAATATAGGGGAGAAGGATTTGTAATTGCTATGATTCTTGCGATTTGAAATGAATATCGAAGCTGAATTTCGTAAGAAATGCGTGGTATACTGGAAGAAACAATTTGATGGGAATATTGATAATGAAATCTCAAATCACTCTAAGAATCCTTTAGAGCTGATTACCTTTTATACAAGGCTATTCTTTTTTATTTTTATTTTTTTTTTTATTTTTTTTTTATTTTATTTCAAAAGAGATTTGAACAATTTGAAGTACATGAAAATATTTTTGATTTTCTATTTAGCGCTAAAAAATTGGGATAACTAGATGATGAAAATTTAATAACAATATTGCCTTAATTAATTTTGAATATTTCTTAAAGCATAATAATCTATCCGATATTGATGGTTTACATTTATTTTCTTAATTATATGTTTTTAAAAAATAGTACAATTAGAAGATAACAGTTTAATTTATATACTCAATAAAATAAAAGATTTGATTATTTTTCAAATGGCTATATTGCTTATAGAATAATGTTAATAACTCCTGCTGCGGTTGATACATCGAATAGAAGTTTTTCAAAAGTAAAATTGATAAAATCTTATCTAAGATCAATGTCTCAAGAGGTTAAATGAATTAGCTATACTATCAATTGAGAAAGACTTATTACGAAAAATTGATTATACGAAAATTATTAATAATTTTGCATCTAAAAAATAAGCTAGAAAATAAACTCTAAATAAAAAGATATTTGTAGACAATAAATTTGCGTCGAGAAAATAAAATCAAGACCGAAAAATATTGCAACAATCGTAGTATTTTATTTTGAATATTTGAGTGTTACAATCTCTATGAATCCTCCGATTCTTCTTTTCAATGGTAAATAAATTCAAGGGCCTTTGAGCTTGATCTTGAATTTGTAGTTGTCGCCACGAACGATGATCTTGTTCTTGAGCTTGAGCTTGAGTTTGGTTGCTTAAACTTGATCTTGATTTGTTCTTCGTTCTTGAGCTTGAACTTGATTTCTTGAACTTGAACTAGATTGCTTGAAGTTTGAAGCTTGTAGAGAAATTTGCGACGTTTGATCCACGAGCTCTCTCTTGCTTCTTGTTATAACTTCTGGTCCTCTTTCTGAGTTATGAAGACCCCTATTTATAGTTGTGGAAGGGAGGAGTTGTGATAAGAACAAACTCTTTCCGGCCAATCAAATTGAGGTGTGACATGACCGCATTTGATTGGCCAGAACATGTCACTTGCACACGTGGCACGATTTCATTGGCCTTTTAGTGTGACTTGGCATGCCTTGTCATTTTGACACGTGGCATGGTCCTATTGGCTCTTCCGCTTGACTTGGCGCGCCACGTCATTTTGACACGTGGCACCAAATTGGGCCTCTAGGAAGACGTCATCATGGGCTTAATGAAGTGGGCTTATCACTTTAGCCCAATTAAATGGGCTAGCCCAATGGATTAAGACTTATTTATTTAACCCATATGTGTTGGACTTATATAATTAGTTCAATTATATTAGCCCATAATATTTATTTGGACCAATACATCTTGAATTTAAAATATAGTCCAAATTATTTTACATATTCAAAATTCTAATAAAATTTATATGCTTACAAATGCCCCCTACTTCAAGTATTGTCGGAGCATAAACTTGATTGTTAACGACAAGGCCTTGAAGTATCAGTGAAGTCCCAAACACGGGTGTCAAACTAGAGCTTCGAACGGAATAATTTCCACAACTAACTTGCACTTTGCCTTAAAAGTATTAAGGATAATTCATATTTGAACAAGACAAAACTGTAATGATTGAAGTTTATAGTCTATATGTTGTAATCTCATTACATTCACGTAATTACTGTCCGAAACGAATTCGTTGGCAACTTATATTCTTCGCAAGGTAGTCTTCTTTGTCTCTAATAAGGATTCCAGGAGATAAACATGCGTCCTCGATTTTCTTTCCATGTTGGAAACTAATTGCTGTTGCCGCCTTTACTAGTCAAGTTCTTGTAGAAAACTAATTATAGCAATGTCCCACATCGAAATCTCACTTCCCAATCAGCTTCATAGGAGATCTATATAAACCCCATGCTCAAATTTGTTGAGCATCAATTCGCAGTATTTGCAAGCCATTTGAGTCTATTTTTTTTTTTACTCGCAAGCATTAACGCGAAGGTAATTTCTTCTTCTTTTCTTGTGCTTTTCTTGTTTTGTTGTCTTTTTTTTTTTGTAGGTCAAACAAGAAAGGTATAGACGGTTAAATCCACAACATTTATAGNCGTTCGCGTAGGAGGAAATCAGGGCCTTGTGAAGTTGTTCAATGCGTTCGCGTAGGTAGTAGTTTCTGATGGTTCGCGTTCGCGTGCTGGGAGCCGCGTTCGCGTAGATTTAAATTTTGGTCAACAGAGGATTTGGCAGCAACTTCATATTTGTTCTTAATGGTTCCTTCAATGAACTCCTTCAGTTGATCGATTGGAATCATTCCTTCAGATGAAAAAGGGATAGCCTTAGTGGATGCTGCCTGTCTTGGAGGAGAGTCACTCTCTAGAACTTCTGGGAGCTTGCCGGGTGCATGGGTGGATTCCTCTTCCATCAAGATTCCCACCCTGTCTGTTAGCTTATCAATTCTAGCCTCTTGATTTTGCATGCATTTGGTCAAGCCAGCGATTGCTTCCGTCAAGTTTGCCAACTGCTCCTCTACGGATGAAGTATTTGTCACCATAGCTTGCATGATTTTCGTGGACGACGGAGAGTAGCATGGATTTTCACACAGATTGATCCTTGATCGGCTCACGCTATGTGGTGTAAGTGGGGAGGATCCATCACTTGAAGCATCATCATCTTCCTTCATAGCAGAGTGCTTGGATCCGGAGAGGTCAAGCAGAGCAAGAGTTTTCTTGATCTTTTCAACAACATCGCTTCCTCCTTCAGATGCGTTTGTGGAAGATCTTGCTCCTTTTGAGGATGAAGATCCGAAAACAGGGGTTAACGCGGACGACACTTGGGGTGTTTGTTGTCCTAAAGAGCTTGCTTTGCTCCTCGTAACTGGTCCGAAGCTTCCAAAGGTAACACCGAGGATGTTTTCCACATCAGCATAGAACCTGGAGTTAGTAGCCTTGTTGGAAGTTGAACCGGAGTTGATTTTCTTTGAAGCCATTTCAATGTTCTTGGACTTTGGTGATTGAAAAGTTGAGATGAGAGGTAGAGATGGTCCCATTGGGCGTGCCAGAATTTGTAGACAATAAATTCGCGTCGAGAAAATAAAATCAAGACCGAAAAATATTGCAACAATCGTAGTATTTTATTTTGAATATTTGAGTGTTACAATCTCTATGAATCCTCCGATTCTTCTTTTCAATGGTAAATAAATTCAAGGGCCTTTGAGCTTGATCTTGAATTTGTAGTTGTCGCCACGAACGATGATCTTGTTCTTGAGCTTGAGCTTGAGTTTGGTTGCTTGAACTTGATCTTGATTTGTTCTTCGTTCTTGAGCTTGAACTTGATTTCTTGAACTTGAACTAGATTGCTTGAAGTTTGAAACTTGTAGAGAAATTTGCGGCGTTTGATCCACGAGCTCTCTCTTGCTTCTTGTTATAACTTCTGGTCCTCTTTCTGAGTTATGAAGACCCCTATTTATAGTTGTGGAAGGGAGGAGTCATGATAAGAACAAAATCTTTCCGAACAATCAAATTGAAGGGTGACATGGCCGCATTTGATTGGCCAGAACATGTCACTTGCACACGTGGCGCGATTTCAATGGCCTTTTAGTGTGACTTGGCATGCCTTGTCATTTTGACACGTGGCATGATCCTATTGGCTCTTCCGCTTGATTTGGCGCGCCACGTCATTTGACACGTGGCACCAAACTGGGCCTCTAGGAAGATGACATCTTGGGTTTAACGAAGTGGGCTTATCACTTTAGCCCAATTAAGTGGACTAGCCCAATGGATTAAGACTTATTTATTTAATCCATATATATTGGACTTATATAATTAATTCATTTATATTAGCCCATAATATTTATTTGGACCAATATATCTTGAATTTAAAATATAGACCAAGTTATTTTATGGATTTAAATCCGATAAATTTTGTATGCCTACAAATGCCCCTTACTTCAAGACTCGTCGAATATTAATCTTCCGAGACTAGGCTTGAAGTACTTGTGATAGTTTCTCTTTCGCTTTATCTATTTAATTTGAAGCCTTGCTTCATTTGAGTATTTGGCAGCATACGAAAATGCTGCAAGGCCACAAGTGTTTGAGTGGCAACCACTAGGCTATGTAAGATCATGATTCATTTATTAGCCACTTTAGTATGTCACATTCCTCTCTCCATCACGTTAACATCTTGTACATTTGTCTTCCATTTAGAAAGGAATCTCATATCCTTCCTTTAAGGATGTAAACATCCAATCAAATTTCTATATGAATATACATCCTTAGTTTAAGGAAATGGTCTTGCTGACCATTTATTCAATTCGTCAAAAGAAGAAAATTCACGACGGAATCACGTACTGTTAAAACTTTCCATACTTATCCGAATTAATTCGAAATTAGAACCCCTTTTGGATTATCACTTCTAACGAACTTCCTCCTTTTCCAATCCTAACTGTCATAGTATTAGGATTTGCATATCCTTTTTGACGTCAAACAGTAATAATCCTTCTCAAGAACTAATTGTAGATCAATTTGACTCCACTTAGGAGATCAAATTCTTCGGTTAAATCTGCAGTCCCAC